TTGTCCGTCGAAGTTACGGAAAGGATTGTTTACAACTGTAGCAGTTGACAACATAGATCATGATTCCAGCTCCACAAGTGCACAAGACTCTTTCCACGGTACAGCAATTTCGCTCGTGCAGCATCCAACAGTTCATGAAAATGGTGAGAGTAGAGAAGTAGACTTATTTGATTCGTCTATTTCTAGTTCCAAAAAAATTTCACAGCTTCCACTATTATTTTGTAATGTCCCACCAGTGACTCTAACATGTGGCGAACTTTATGACCCTCCACTTCATACCGTTATGCAAACTGTATCTACCACCGTCAACCAAAGGCAAGATCTGGAGGAAGACTGGCTTGAACATGTGCGACATCTAGTTCAAAAGGAAGACCTGAGTAAGGACGACACTTTTTCATGGGCAGCACATCGAGCGTCAAAAACGTCGTCAACCTCTTACGAACCGGCAATCATTGCACTTCTCCCAATGTTTCGGGAGAATGCGCATTTATTTGCAATGATATTACATTCAATGAATGTTGTTCAATCAGCTGTTCGTCATGTCAACTACTCTCAAACTCCAGTTATCGCCGTAGACCAGCCCCTATTTGCTTTAGCCAAGCAAATTCAATGGACTCTTGCAAACAGTCATGGAGAAGATAAATTTGTGGTAATGTTTGGTGGCTGACACATTGAGATGACGGCTTTTAAAGTTCTAGGAAAATGGCTTGATGGGAGTGACTGGACCGAAATTTTGACTAACGCATGTATAGCTAACCAAGGTGTTGTACAGTCATTCATCGCTTGCAATCATGTGGCAAGAACAAGACGCGCACATCAAGTTACAGCAGCCAGTCTTTACTACCTACAACAAGATGCCTATAAGGAGTATGTCATAAAAGTTGACAATGGAGAAGCTAAAGAATTCCACATTTGGAAAGAAGATATGTCAAAGGATCATCCACAGTTTCTGTATTGGACCATAGTTTTGGAACTAGAATTACTCTGTTTACAACTAGTGCGATAATTTAGAGAAGCTAATTTCTCCTTATACTTCCAGTCAATTAAGCAACTTGTCCCGTGGATGTTTGCTTTGGACAATGTTAATTATGCAAGATGGCTTTCTGTCCATATCCGTGATATGTCGGAGCTTCCATTCAAACATCCTGACGTCTTTAACCAGTTCTCCAAGGGCTCGTTTGTGGTGCATAAAACGAAGAAACGGTTTTCAGCTATAGCATTAGATCATGCTCGCGAGCAAGTTAATGCAGTGGTATAGAGAGAAGGTGGTTCTGTGGGACTAACCGAAAACCTTTCAGCTTTAAGGAGATGGATGATTGCAGGTCCAGAAATTGCACGAATAATTAGGGAATTCGAGATGAGTACACAAGTAGACAGTCAGCTACACCATGAGCAAACTCCATCCATTCAAAGAGAATTTTTTAAAGATGTCTCAAATGTTGTCTCCAATTTTCAAGCGATGGGGAATCCTTTTGTAGAAGAGAGCGAAGACCTATTTGCCATCCACACAAATGACGTGATGAACAGTTCCGTTGTTCACACGGTGAAGAATGTTGTAACCCTTGGAGAAGAAAAATATCAAGCATTTGTTAAAGAAAGATTTGCTGAGAGAAGCAAGAGTATTACTGAAACGTTGAAAAAAAATAATCTGCCAACGTTTAAAACAGGAATAAAAAGAGTTTCGTCAAAAGATAAAGTAAATATACAAACTCTAAAACTAGACTGTGCTTTATTTTTAAGATTGTATATAGCCATTCAAAATCGAAGTGGTGATCTCGATGATTTCTTTAAATATGAGAACCAACCATGGCCACCATCTCTCTCACAAGCAGGAAGTTTGCGTACTGGTAATAAAGCAGACTTGACAAAGTATATCGAGCCGTCTACCAAAGTTCAGTCACCAACTCCCGATGTTATTATTTTGGACGGGGCTGTTGTTGTTCAAATGATTTCACCTGGAACTTGGGAAACGTTCGAAGAGTACGCTCAGTTTGCTTTCATTCCTTATGTGTTAAAGCAATTTCAATCAGCTAAAAGAATTGATTTAGTGTGGGATGTATACAAAGAGGATTCGCTGAAAAAAAACGCTCGTGAGAAGAGAGGCTTTGGTCAACGCCGCAAGGTTTCATCGACAACACGTATCCCTACTGACTGAAAGGTCTTCCTGCGCGTAGATGCCAACAAAATGGATCTTTTCAATTTCTTAGCGCAGAAAGTTATTTCCTAGCAGATTCCAGAAGGAAGAGAAATTTACAGTACATTTGAAGAAAAGGTCTTCTGCTTCCCTAAAAGAACGGAAGTATCAATGTTGGAACCATGTAATCATGAAGAGGCTGACACACGAATGATGGTGCACGTGTTAGATGCAAGTGACTGCGGCCACCAGAGGATTGTTGTAAGAACAAATGATACTGACGTATTGATACTGGCCATTTCAATTGTGAAAAATATCAAAGCAGAAGAATTATGGATTCTTTATGGCACAGGAAAGCACTCGCGTTATATTCCCGCGCATACAATTGCATCGACTATCGGACCTGACAAGGCATCTGTTCTACCGTTATTTCACGCTTTTACGGGGTGTGATACTGTTTCCTTTTTTGGAAGTCGAGGAAAGAAAACTGCATGGGATGTATGGAATGTATTTCCAGAGCTAAAATTAGCGTTGCAAGAGCTAAATTTGTTGCCAGAAAGGATTGATTGTTCGTCCTTGCAGGTAATTCAGAAACCGCCAAAGGCATGTATTATCTATCAAATAAGGTCCCTATTATGATTCATATAATGTTTTGCAAGTGATTGAGCGATATGTGGTCCTCTTATACGATCGTACAAGTAATCTCACCAGAGTCAATGAAGCTAGACAAGAGTTGTTTGCCAAAAAGTCCAGAACACTGGATAACATTCCACCAACCAAGGGAAGCGTTGCTTCAGCACACCAAGCGTGCATTGTTGCAAGGTGGATTTTTCTGGGGGCAGTGCTGCTTGAAAGAGCAGGTTATACCAACTCCGTCAAGTTGGGGCTGGTACCGTGATGAAAATTCTTGGTTACCAAAGTGGACAAATCTCCCTCAAATTAAAGATGCCTGTTATGAACTTATTCGTTGCGGATGCAAAAGTTCATGTTCTAGTCGTTGTAATTGCGTCAAAGCACACTTAGTTTGTACTTGTTTGTGTAATTGTGGGGGTGGTTGTCAATAACACGAGGGCATTAAAATTATTTGTATTTAAGAAAGAGCAATAGCACTAAACAAAAGTGCTGAATCAGCACTTTTAAGACACTTTTAATGTAGAATATTTCCAATGGTAGTCGTTATAACACATAGAACTAAAATACATGGAGTGCTACCTAAAGCTAATAATTGAAGCGAAAAGCCCAAATCTTACACCAGATACGCGAGATTTTACCCCAGACACGCGTGCTTAGTGTTTTGAGACTCTCGCACGGAGTAATAATTGATTGACTTCAAAATCGTGTCTAGGGGTAAAATCTCGCGTTTCTGGGATAAAATCACGGCTTCAAAAAATTATCAGGGTTTTGTATTACAAGTAGCGTTCCATGTATTTTAATTAAATGTTATAACACCATTTGCAATCATGTCGCTATGTTGTTATCTTTTGAGGTGTAAGGACCTAACGTCGAAGATTAAAAAGGTTTGATCGAATTATAATTGTTCTTTCTAAAAAAGGGTAAAAAAAGTCGTTAAATAAAACAAAAATGTCTCATGTTTTGATCTAGCAGTGTAAATGTAGTCTATTGTAAACAAATTCTGTGAAAACCATTGACGTTTTAGCATTTCGTAAATATTTTCTCTAATAAAGCAAGGATGTTATTTACTAATGAAGTATTTCTTACACAAATTGATAAATAAAAGATGTTTACTGCATGTGTTTGCACAGGCCATGCAATCTGAAGAGACTTTGGGAGAACTGGAGAGCAGATCAGTGCAAGCCAGAGACAGAATGTCGAGGGTTTCACATGCTAGAGAGTTTTTACCCCAGACACACTTGCAAAAGCCAGTGCAAACACGAAAAACATCTTTTATTTTTTTAAAAAAATAACAATAATGCGAAACAAAAAACCGTTATAATATTCTTTTAACGTGTAGTCATGATCAATTTGCAAATTCCCTTTGATTGATTGATTGATTTGATTGGTTGAGCTTAGATCGTTTTTCGCAGACTAATGCAAACACAGGTCTAAACCAATTAGCGCACGTGTTTCATTGTGTTTATTTTATAATATGAAATGATGTCAAGCAAACGATACTTTAACGTTACATAAAGTACATTTTCTGAATTACCAAAACTTTCTGAGCGATACCGTACTGATCTGGTTATGATTCTTCACTGATATATGTCATGAGAAAGATTAACACTTCATTTTAGCTGTAGTCTGTACTAAGAAAAAGTTCAAAAAAATGAAATGTTTTCACTAATAATTTATAATTTGCATTCATTTTATAATAATAACATTGCAATTGAAGAAATGGTACTTTATGTTGTGCTTGATGTTTGATAAATCATAAATGATTGGAATCATAATAATTAATGAATGCAATATCTGACGTCATTTTCTAAAATCGTAATCCATTTTGAGTGCGACAAAATGATTCTTAATTTTTATTTCGATATCATATTCTAGACATTTCTGATTCCTACAATGCATCAATTTATTGGTAAATCAATCTACATGATTAACAAGTCCCTACGGAAAAACTAAATGTCAAGATTTACAATAGATTGATTTTAAGATTTCTATTAATTACAAAACTAGTCGAGGTTTGCTTCTCCTTTGGAAACACATCATAAACTGATTTTATTAATTTTATTTTAATGCAATCGCGGTCATCTCTGGTTGGTGGGCAGTACAAGCGGCATGGTAGGTAGCAATGGCCAGCATTGTCTTGCAGAATACACGCAATAACTTTATGTAACTTCAAAAGAAAATCTTACGGCTTGATTTGTCAATTGTCAAAGATAATGTAATTCAGTAAATCATCTGATTTGTCAATAATATTTATTCTTAGCAGAAATGAAACTTTATCATTTTACTTTTTTTTTATTGATTATGATAATATGTACATTTACTTTATATGATAATATGGTTGATTACAATTTGTTTACACGTAGTTTTGTGTTACAGATACATTTCAACAATGGATAAAAATGTCAAACACACAGCATTTTCTACATAAGCTTTCAAATTTTCCACGACACTTTTTACGATAAGCATCTTCGATTAGAATTAGGTTTTTAGTGTATTTCTTTGACATGATTCCCCATCACTAGGATCTTTCCTCATAGCCTATAAAATTTCATGAAATTTAACTCTTAGAAAAGCGCTTTTCTGCTTTCAGTCTATATCAAGGAATATAGGAAAACCCTATCCATGATCTGAACGGGAAAAATTTCGCAAATTTTGGCCAGTTTTAAATTTTGTCCGTAAATACTATTTGTGTTTGAAAAGTCTTACCAAACTCAAATCAAAACAGTTTCATTCATTGTCATAATCATAGTATTGTTCCTTGGTAGCAATGGAAAGATGAAGCACGTCATTTTTTGCAACGAAAAGTAAAAGAACAATAAATACACTCCAAAAATTAATCTTTCTTCCTGAAGTGTTTATGAAGGAAAACTTCATAAACACTTCAGTAGCAAGTCCCATCAAGCAACTCTGGCTGATTTTGATCGTTTCTCGATAACAACTGGCCATATTGATGTAATGATGAATGCGAAAATGAAGGAAATATTGATGCAAGAGAAAGCAGATGAAGAAAAGAACAAAGAAATTATGTTGATTCTTCTTGATGTGGCTTGCACTCAGGCTTGCACTCAGGAATAGACGTAATGGCAGAATACACTCGTCATCATCGATCAAGAAAGTCACCCAAACGAATTGGGGAGCATTCCGAAATAACAACAGAAAAACCTTTAAAGATTTGTACCGAAAGAAATCTACTTGGTTCTAGACTCACTTATCACCGAGTATACCGATAACATTAAAGTTTGCATCGACCAAATAAAACTTCTTGGAGATAGCTTATAGATGCCGCTAGAAAGGCCATTGGCTGAAACAGTTAATGGAATGTGTTGTCTTTTTCCACCGGCGGTATAACAGGTTGATGCAGAAATACTGCTGTTTTAGTTGGAAATTTTCAATAATATTGTGTCGTCACAACTTAAATCAGAACCCAAATCCCTTTAAGACGTTTAGTTATTTGCTTTCAATTACAAAAACGTCTTTCCATCGGTGTGCAAGGCGTATCAACTAATGCTGACCACTCCAGTGTCCGTGGCAAAAGATGAAAGGTGTTTCAGCAAATATATGATTGTCAAAAATTGCTTGAGATGCACAAAGAAAGATACGCGATTAAATGACTTAATCGTTCTTGCATGTGAAAAAGATCTTACGGACAATGTTGACTTAAAATATTTTTAAAAATTGGGCAACGGCAAGGATGCGAAAAATGCCATTAAAGATTTAATAATACGCTAAAGTGCGTTCTGTCACAAGAATACAATATGCATTACGAAAATATGTAGCGAAAATCGGTTCAATCATCACAATATTTTATTGTTGAATAAGTACTAATCTATATGATCTGCAGGGCATCATGTGTTTTTGCAGGGCAATTTCATCCCCCACCCCCCACCCCAACATTAAAAGGTGCTAGTTTAACCCCTGTGCATAAGCCAGTGCAAACACGAAAAAATCATTTTTTCCTTTTATAAAGAAACAATAAAGTGAAACTGACAAATTAAAAACCGACGTTTTAACTTTACCCCTAAAATGCATTTATGATCTATTTGCAATTTTATTAATTTGATGGGTTGAACTCAGATCTGTTTGCAGATACTAATGAAAACACAGCTATTGACCAATCAGAACAGCGTTTCACTCTCTTTACTTATATATTGAATTCTAATTAAGTGAATACCAATTTTATGTTGGTGCCACATAAAATGTTCACTTTAAACAAACTTAAGTCAATTCTAATGCAAGAGAATGCTATTTTTTGCTAATGCTATTTTTAACTATTTTCATTATTAAAAACATACCAAAAACAACTTATCCATTAAAAGCAATGATATTACCCTTGGAAAAATTCCCCCAACCAGGGCATATTATTTATCATATCCTGTCGTTGCAGGAGTCGGGAATTTTGAGTTTGTTAATTCAAGATGTTGGATTATCTTTGCAAACGAAAATGCATCGACTAACAAATTTATGTGAAATTAAAGCGTGTCATCCATACCAAACAAGCTCGAAGGCTTACCCACAATAAATCCTTTAAAAAAAGTTTTACAAAAAGTGTAAAACCATATTTGATCCAAGCTTGTCGTGATTGATGTGAATATCTTGATATGCATAGCGGCGGTATTCGGAGATGTTACATCTTGCCGTAGAATTTTGATAAAATTGTTTAATGAAGCCTTATTCATTGTTCCATCAAGCAATGTTCATTTTCAAATTTATGGATTTCTTAGTAAATCAACTCGGAAAAACCAACAAAACAAGACTAAATACCAGAACGTTGGCTACGCCCAGGTCCAAAACTAGAACAATGATTGGGGGGGGTTGAATATTCATGTATGTGAGAATATTCATGGTTTGTGACCTAACATGCTCAGCAGTAGAGCGTGACCGACAAAGAAGTTATGTAAATAGGCGGGTGAATCTGTGTTGAAATATTCTACAATTATGTACATACAAACCTGAACATTGTACACCAGCATCTTCAGTATGTCTACAATTATGTGATCCCCATCCTCTATGTGAACAACTCGAAATATTAGTTTCATTTCCTATACAACGAACGTCGTCTAACCATATTCTTCCACTGCCATAAGAAACATAACCTCCTTGTAAAGCCCTGACAGCATTGTCATAACCAAGTTGTCGACAAACAACTTTAGCATCGTATATATTCCAGCCATCATCACAAATTGTTCCCCATTCTCCATTGTAAAATACTTCCACACGACCTCTGCCGATAGAACTTTTTGGTCCCCGAAGTCTAACAGAGTTGATAACTGATAAAAAAAGAAAATAAAGGGACATTGCAAAACATAGAAGTCTAAACTCCGAAATATTCTAAGTTACATTTATACATATAAAGTATCCTAATATGTTAGATGCCATTGTAAAAACTTCTTAGGCGAAATTAATGAATTAAATTAGTAACAAAAAATTGATAAAAAAACTTACATGATTACAATATCAAAACATTTTGGACAAATAGACACTATTTTACTTCCATGAGTCTAAATAATTATTTATTTAGATCATTCCTCATTTTTTTTCTATTATAAATATCTTATTAACCTTTTAACTTGCGAATGTTCCCCCTTGGTTTTCCATTTAATCATTTGATTTTATTGCCATATGGCAACACTGCCCCATAACTTTGTTGAAACAAGCAAAAAATAAACAGTAAATTGTTCACATAGTCTCTTCGTTTACAACGTGGGAATCTTTATCGTATTTTTTAAATAACCGTCTTTTTAATTATTCAGAAATACGTTTCGGGTGCTCTCTAGGCATAGTTTATGCTAAGCCTGAACGGTTTGTAAAAAACGAATTTAAAAATGAATTCTTCAGATAGACAGCACGCCATTACAAGACATAAAGTTACACGGTGGTCTAAATTTTGAGATGCTCCTTTTTAATATGCAAAAAAATTTTAATGGAGCTTCAAAAGCTACAGCCTGCAGCTTTAAAAAGACATAATTAATATAAAAATCGTAACCAAACTGATAATATAAGGATTATCCCATTCCTCCACGGAAAATTTGGTCAATGGGCTGCCCTTTTTCTCTAAGATTATCGAATCTTTCTATGGGCAATCATAAAATTGGTTATCTTTAATTATGTACTCGTGGAACGGGTTGTGTTTATTTGGTTAATTTACGTCCGAAGCTGGGTTCATACTTAAGGCATTTGTCATATGTGTCAGTATTTGAAAATCATACTAAATGTTTAAATTATTCTTTGGGGATCACCCAAATAATTCAGTTTATCATCTTTATACTAAAGGTAAATAATGTACATACAAACCTGAACATTGTACACTAGCATCTTCCTTATGTGTACAATTATGTGATCCCCATTCTCTATGTGAACAACTGAAAATATTATTTTCATTTCCTACACAACGAACTTCGTCTAACCATATTCTTCCACTGCCATGTGGAACATTACCTCCTAGTAAAGCCCTGACAGCATAGTCATAACCAAGTTGTCGACAAACAACTTTAGCATCGTTTAAGTCCCAGCCATCATCACAAATTGTTCCCCATTCACCATTGTAAAGTACTTCCCCACGACCGATGCCACTAGAACTTTTTGGTCCCCGAAGTCTAACAGCTGAAAAAAAGAAAAGCTGATAAAAACAGAAAGCTGAAAAGCTTTCGAAAGCTGATAAAAATAGAAAATAAATAGATATTGCTAAACATAGAAGTCTAACTCCGAATTATTCTAATTTACATGTATACATATAAAGTATCCTGTTATGTTGGATGTCATTGTAAAATATTCTTTTGTGAAATTAATGATTTTGAATTAGTAACAAAATATTGATAAAAAAAACTTAACATAAATACCATATAAAGACGTTTTGGACTGTTAAACACACTATTTGACTTTCATGGATCGAAAAAACGTTTATTTAGATCAGTCCTCATTTCCTTATGTAATATAAATAATTTCTTAACCCTTTGACTTGCGAACTTCCCCATTGGTTTTCAATTCAATCATTTGAATTTATTGCCATATGGCAACACTACCCCATAACTTGTTGAAACAAGCAAAAAATAAACAGTAAATTGCTCACATAGTCTCTTCGTTTACAACGTGGGAATCTTTATCGTATTTTTAAAATAACCGTCTTTTTAATTATTCAGAAATACGTTTCGGGTGCTCTCTAGGCATAGCTTATGCTAAGCCTTAACGGTTTGTAAAAAACGAATTTAAAAATGAATTCTTCAGATAGACAGCACGCCATTACAAGACATAAAGTTACAATGCAATGTAAATTTAGAGATGCTCCTGTTTAATATGCAAAAAAATTTTAATGAAGCTTCATAAGCTACAGCCTGCAACTTTAAAAAGCCATAATTAATTTAAAAATCGTAACAAAACAGATAATATAAGGATTATCACATTCCTCCACGGAAAATTTATTCAATGGGGTGTCCTTTTTCTCTAGGATTATCGAATCTTTTTAAGGGCAATCATTAAAAAGGTTATGTTTAATTATGTCCTTGTGGAACGAGTTGTGTTTATTTAGTAATTTTACGACCGAAGCTGTGTTTATACTTAATGCATTTGTCAATATATGTGTCAGTATTATAAAATCATACTAAATGTTCCAATTATTCTTTGAGGATTACCCAAATAATTCAGTTTATCATCTTTGTACAAAAAGGTAAATAATGTACATACAAACCTGAACATTGTACACCAGCATCTTCATCATGTCTACAATTATGTGATCCCCATTCTCTATGTGAACAATTCAAAATATTTTTTTCATTTCCTATACAACGAACTTCGTCTAACCATATTCTTCCACTGCCATGTGGAACATTGCCTCCTAGTAAAGCCATGATAGCATAGTCATAACCAAGTTGTCGACAAACAACTTTAGCATCGTTTATTTCCCAGCCATCATCACAAATTGTTCCCCATTCTCCATTGTAAAATACTTCCATACGACCTCTGCCAATAGAACTTTCTGGTCCCCGAAGTCTTACAGAGTTGAGAACTGATAAAAAAAGGAAATAAAGAGATATTGCAAAACATGGAAGTCTCAACCCCGAAATGTTCTAAGTTACATGTATACATATAAAGTATCCTGTTATGTTGGATGCCATTGTAAAATCTTCTTGTGCGAAATTAATTATTTAAATTAGTAACAAAAAATTGATAAAAAACTTACATCAATACAATATCAAAACTTTTTGGACAATTACACACACTATTTGACATTCATGAGTCCAAAAAATTTTTTATTTAGACCAGTCCTCATTTCTTTATGTAATATAAATAATTTCTTAACCCTTTGACTTGCGAACTTCCCCATTGGTTTTCCATTCAATCATTTGATTTTATTGCCATATGGCAACACTGCCCCATAACTTGTTGAAACAAGCAAAAAATAAACAGTAAATTGTTCACATAGACTCTTCGCTTACAACGTAAAAAATGTTATCGTATTTCTAATTAACTGTCGTTTTACTTATTCAGAAATACGTTTCTGGTGCGCTCTAGGCATGGCTTTTGCTAAACCTTAACGGTCAGTAGAAAACGAAATTAAAAATGGATTTTTAAGATAGACAGCACGCCATTACAAGACATTAAGTTACACCGTAGTGTAAATTTAGAGATGCTCCTTTGAAATATGCAAAATTTTTAATGGAGCTTCAAATCCTACAGCCTACAGCTTCAAAAAGCTATAATGAATGTAAACAATCGTAACAAAACAGATAATTTAAGGATTATCACATTCCTCCACGGAAAATTTGGTCAATGGACTGCCCTTTTTCTCAGGTATTATCGAATCTTTCTATGGGCAATCATAAAATAGGTTATGTTTAATTATGTCCTCGTGGAACGAGTTGTGTTTATTTGGTTAATTTACGTCCGAAGCTTGTTTATATTTAAGGCATTTGTCAATATTTGTTTCAGTATTTGAAAATCATATTAAATGTTTCGATTAATCATTGAGGATCCTTGAAATAATTCAGTTTATTATCTTTGTAAAAAATATGTAAATAATGTAGAAACAAACCTGAACATTGTATACCAGCATCTTCATCATGTGTACAATTATGTAATCCCCAACCACTATGTGCACAACTCCAAATATTATTTTCATTTCCTACACAATGAACTTCGTCTAACCATATTCTTCCACTGCCATGTTGAACATTGCCTCCTAGTAAAGTCCTGACAGCATAGTCATAACCAAGTTGTCGACAAACAACTTTAGCATCGTATAAGTCCCAGCCATCATCACAAATTGTTCCCCATTCACCATTGTAAAATACTTCCACACGACCTATGCCACTAGAACTTCTTGGTCCCCGAAGTCTAACAGAGTTGAAAGCTGATAAAATTAGAAAATAAATAGATATTGCTAAACACAGAAGTCTAACTCCGAATTATTCTAAGTTACATGTATGCATATAAAGTATCCTGTTATGTTGGATGTCATTGTAAAATATTCTTTTGCGAAATTAATGATTTTGAATTAGTAACAAAATATTGATAAAAAAACTTAACATAAATACCATATAAAGACGTTTTGGACTGTTAAACACACTATTTGACTTTCATGAATTGAAAAAACGTTTATTTAGATCATTCCTCATTTCTTTTTTTAATATAAATAACTTCTTAGCCCTTTGACTTGCTAACTTTCCCCATTGGTGTTCCATTTAATCATTTGATTTTATTGCCATATGGCAACACTACCCCATAACTTGTTGAAACAAGCAAAAAATAAACAGTAAATTGTTCACATAGTCTCTTCGTTTACAACGTGGGAATCTTTATCGTATTTTTAAAATAACCGTCTTTTTAATTATTCAGAAATACGTTTCGGGTGCTCTCTAGGTATGGCTTATGCTAAGGCTTAACATTCAGTAAAAAACGACTTTAAAAACGAATTCTTTAGATAGACAGCACGCCATTACAAGACATAAAGTTACAATGCAATGTAAATTTAGAGATGCTCATGTTTAATATGCAAAAAAATTTTAATGAAGCTTCATAAGCTACAGCCTGCAACTTTAAAAAGACATAAGTAATGTAAAAATCGTAACAAAACAGATAATATAAGGATTATCACATTCCTCCACGGAAAATTTATTCAATGGGGTGTCCTTTTTCTCTACGATTATCGAATCTTTTTAAGGGCAATCATTAAAAAGGTTATGTTTAATTATGTCCTTGTGGAACGAGTTGTGTTTATTTAGTAATTTTACGACCGAAGCTGTGTTTATACTTAATGCATTTGTCAATATATGTGTCAGTATTATAAAATCATACTAAATATTCCAATTATTCTTTGAGGATTACCCAAATAATTCAGTTTATCATCCTTGTACAAAAGGTAAACAATGTACATACAAACCTGAACATTGTACACCAGCATCTTCATCATGTCTACAATTATGTGATCCCCATTCTCTATGTGAACAATTCAAAATATTTTTTTCATTTCCTATACAACGAACTTCGTCTAACCATATTCTTCCACTGCCATGTGGAACATTGCCTCCTAGTAAAGCCATGATAGCATAGTCATAACCAAGTTGTCGACAAACAACTTTAGCATCGTTTATTTCCCAGCCATCATCACAAATTGTTCCCCATTCTCCTTTGTAAAGTACTTCCACACGACCTCTGCCAAAAGAACTGTCTGGTCCCCGAAGTCTAACAGAGTTGATAACTGATAAAAAAAGGAAATAAAGAGATATTGCAAAACATGGAAGTCTCAACCCCGAAATATTCTAAGTTACATGTATACATATAAGGTATCCTGTTATGTTGGATGCCATTGTAAAATCTTCTTGGGCGAAATTAATGATTTAAATTAGTAACAAAAAATTGGTAAAAAAACTTACATAAATACAATATCAAAACTTTTTGGACAATTACACACACTATTTGACATTCATGAGTCCAAAAAATTTTTTATTTAGACCAGTCCTCATTTCTTTATGTAATATAAATAATTTCTTAACCCTTTGACTTGCGATTTCCCCATTGGTTTTCCATTCAATCATTGATTTTATTGCCATATGGCAACACTGCCCCATAACTTGTTGAAACAAGCAAAAAGTAAAAGTAAATTGTTCACATAGACTCTTCGCTTACAACGTAAAAAATGTTATCGTATTTCTAATTAACTGTCGTTTTACTTATTCAGAAATACGTTTCTGGTGCACTCTAGGCATGGCTTTTGCTAAACCTTAACGGTCAGTAGAAAACGAAATTAAAAATGGATTTTTAAGATAGACAGCACGCCATTACAAGGCATCAAGTTACACCGTAGTGTAAATTTAGAGATGCTCCTTTCAAATATGCAAAGTTTTTAATGGAGCTTCAAATCCTACAGCCTACAGCTTCAAAAAGCTATAATGAATGTAAA